CATCAATTAAACATAAAACAACCCAAACAAAATTAGAAAAAGGAGACGGAAGGAAGTTTCCTCCTTCGCTGCGAATCAGAACAAAGAGAAGAAGAAGAACGAGAATGACCGCCCTTGCGCCCTCGCCGCGTCTTCGCCGCGCCTTCGCCGCGCCTCAATCACGCCATTGAAGATCCCTTCGTCGCGCCTCCATCGGAACAGAGAAGAGGAAAGAAGCCTCCCCTCGCAAACGAAAGAAAATGGGAGAAAAGATAGGAGCAGCGCAACTTGTATCTCTGTTTGCGAAATTTAACCTTAAACACATGTTATTACCTCGGTTACTTTTTTAACCGAGGCAATAAGGGTCTACGGCCTCATTTCTATAAAGAACCGATGCCTAAACGCTCTCAAAAAAATAAAAAATAATTACAAAAATGTCACCGCGCCAGTTTTAGGCATCGGTTCCTTTTGAACCGAGGCATATACCTTTGTGCGATAATTACAAAAAATGTCACTGCACCAGTTTTAGGCATCGGTTCTTTTTGAACCGAGGCATATACCTTGCGCGATAATTACAAAAATGCCACCGCACCAGTTTTAGGCATCGGTTCTTTTTGAACCGAGGCATATACCTTGCGCGATAATTACAAAAATGCCACCGCACCAGTTTTAGGCATCAGTTTTGTTTGAACCAAGGCATATTCATTTGTGATAACTACAAAAATGCCACCGCGCCATTTTTTGCTTCGGTTACAACTTAACCGATGTCAAATGCGCGAGTTAAAATCTTGTTTTTTTACTAGTGTTGTGACTTTTACTCTTTTGTAAAAAATATTTAATTAATAATTATGGGTAAGGAAGAGAGAATATAAGAGCACACAAAGTGAAAATGTCTTTGAATATTATTATGTACACTTACAAGACAAAATCGATAATAACTTTATTGAGCCAACAACATAACTGAGAACAGAACAAGAAACTTGAATTAATACAACATTCTTCCTTAATTCAATTATTAAATATAATTATTCTTAACTCAACCATCAAACTTCCAAATTTGTCCTTTAAGGGCTTTGTAAAAGCATCAAACAATTGTAGTTGAGTAAGGCACTAAATTAGTTTCAGTTTTCTATTATTAACTTGCTTCCTCAGAAAATGAAATTTGGTCTCTATATGTTTGCTCCTCCCATGTGACACGAGGTTATTAGTCAAACTTATTATTGATTTAACAAGTAGTTGAATGAGTCTTTTAATTTCAACTTTCATTGTTGTCAAGATGGAATTGAGCCACGTAGTAGAAGAACCAACTATATATTATGTTTCATGTGTAGATAATGTTACGATACGTTACTTTTTACTACACCAACATATTAGTGATCCCATTAACTTGAACTAGAAACTAGTAGTGCTTCTTCTATCACTACCATTACCTCACCATCAAAATCTAACCAAGTAACCAATTCGTCTGACATTTGGATGATTGTATGAAACAATATCCCACAATCTAATGTTCCTATAACATATCTTAGTATCCTTTTTGTAGCTAGTAGATGCATTTTCTTTGGCTGATGCATAAATCTACTAAGTACTTCCATTGAAAAACAAACGCCAAGCATGTTGTTACTTAGGTACCTAAGTGATGCAACCTTGTTTGTATAGGATGATGTCAACGTCTTCATTATATTCTGAAGCAGTAACTTTTGTCTCTACTACAGTTCTTGTTGCATTGTAGATTTTCATATTAAACTTCTTTATGATCTTTGTAGCATATTTCTTTTGGTGGAGAATAATTCCATTGTTGGATTCAATGAACTCAGATCCAAGAAAATATCTCAACTTTCCATCAGTCATTTCGAATTCAAGCATCAATAAGTCTTTAAATTTCTCAATTATTGAGATATTGCTCCTTGTTATCAATAAGTCATCCACGTAAATGTGCACTAAAACTAGATTTGCATCATCTTGGAGTTTTATTTATATATATATTCCATGTTCCACTAGACATTTCAGAAACTTGTACCTTAGCATGAATGAGTCCATCACTTTCTTCTAGGCTTTTGGTGTGTGCTTCATGCCATATAATGCCTTCCGTAACCTATACCTCTTGTTCACACCTTTTAATCTTAAATCAAGAGGGTTGGGTGGCATTGACCTCCTCTTCAAGCAACATTCAGAAATGCAAACTTTACATCTAATTAGAATATAGGCCACCTTCTACAATTTGCAAATGTCACAAGCAGCCTTACAGTCTCAATCCTAGCCACGTAAACAAATACTTCTATATATAGTCTAAACCTTGTTTCTACAGAAAACCTTTGACAAACAATCATGCTTTTCATTTGGAAATGGTTCCATTTAGATTTAGTTTCAGCTTAAACACACAATTAACATCACTAGATGTCTTATTCAAAGGTAATTCAGTTAGTACCCAAGTTTGATTATTCTCAATAGCCTTCATTTCTTCTAACATTGAAATTCTCCATAAATCATGCTTCAATGCCTCTTCATGATTAATAGGTTTTCAATCTCTACTGATAATTCAACATGCACCAAATCACCTTCATCGGTTACTGCATTATTTAAAAACATGTTGAAATCCACCTATGACATTAGCATAGTTGTCTATCTAGTCTTTTTTTGTGCTTGTGACTGTGTAGGTTGCACTGCATTATCAATTTATCCAATCCCATTGTACTCATCACTTGATTTCTCTTCCTCACCTTTGAATGTTATTGAGACATTTTGTTTGGAACCATCTTCTTTACCTTACCAATCTCGCATTTTAGCCTCGTTCATCACAACATCTTTGCTTATACAAATCTCCTTCATTCTAGGATTGTATAATCTGTAAGCTCTAGTCGAATGGTATCCTAGAAATATCATGGTCTCACGTTTATCATACAGTTTAGTTCTTTCCATTGTTGGTACATGTTTGTAGCAAAATGAACCAAAAATCTTCAAAATGATTTATCACTGGTTTTCTTTCAGACCATACCTCTTATAGGACTTTATCTATTAGCTTCTTGGTGGGGCAACTTCTCCCGAGAATGAGTATGGTATTTTATTTTTGTTTTAGCATACTCCTTGCCATGTCAAGTATATTTCCATTTCTTCTTTCAACAAAACCATTGTGTCGTGAAGTATATGGTGATGCTATTTCGTGTTGAATTCTATTATTTGTACAGTAGTTTTTGAACTCCCTTGATATGTACTCTCCACTTATCAATATTTAGAGTGTCTTTCCACTTTGCTTTTCAAGCATCAACCTCACATAACATTTAATCCACAACAATGATCAAAGCACATATAGTTGGTTATTGTATCAAGGTTGGTTATATAAAATTATGTTTAGCTTGTACAAAAAGTCCAACGTTGCTACCCACTTATTTGGTCACTACTCCTTACTTGCGTTTTAAAGTTGGTTTTTCAATTTTTTATCCACAACAATGACCAAATTAAAGCAATTTTTGTTGGGATATCGTAATTGTGGTAGATAGGGAGCACATATCAATAGTTGTTGTATGAAGCTTTCTTGTATTATATGTCCAACCTATTGAAAAAGTTCAACGTTGTTATCCATTTATTTGGCCACTGCTCTTCACTTATGTTTCAATGTTGGTTTTTCAATTTTTAATCCACAACAGTGACCAAATTGAATCAATTTTTGTTGGTATATGGTCATTATGATGATGTTTGTGGCAGATAGGAAGCACATATCGTTGGTTTTTATATGAAGGTTGGTTGTATAAAATTATGTTTAGTTTGTACAAAAAGTCTAATTACTACTCCCCACTTGCTTTTCGGCAAAACAACTACAAGTGTTCGATTTCATTGAAAATGAGTGAAACACAAAGCAACAGACGAAATAAAACAAGCAAGCTAGGTTTTCTACCTTAAACTCATAATGGAGAAGGAACAATTCGCACTTGGGAAGGAACAACGACTACCTAAGAAACTCACCAACCAGAACGAATTCATCACTAAAAGACTTTGTTCACTTGAATAGATTTGGGGGAGAGTGATTGAATGGATTTGAGAGGATTTGAAGGTAAATTTTTTTGTTGTTTATTTGAGTGGATTTAGAGGTAAGTGAGAGTGAATTTGGAAGTAAAGTTTGTGAGAATTAGTGTAAGATTTGATTGATGTGACAGATTAAAAAATTTACTTCCAAATTCACTCTTACTTACCTCCAAATTCACTCAAATAAACATAAAAAAATTTACCTTCAAATCCTCTCAAATCCATTCAATCATTCTCCCCCAAATCTATTCAAGTGAACACAAGAAAAACACAAGCTCAACACAACAATAAACAAAGGGTATAATGGTCCTCAAAGGTCGCCAACGACAATCAAAAGGAAAAATTGGCCAATGAATAGGAAGAATAGAAATTTAAAAAAGGAAGTTTGAGAATTAACCTAGGTTTTCTAGACTAAAACTTGAAAAAGAAAAAAAGAAGGAAATATCGCGTCATTTCATGCTCACACGGCTTGTATAAAATAATAAACAAAAGAGCGTAACGGTGACACTTGTGCTGTGTCGAAATGCTGTAAAAAAAAAGAGTTAACATGTCATTTTCTTTTTCAAGAATTCTTTATTATAAAATTGCTGCTTCTTTACCAAACCTAACATCAAGCTAATAAAATCCAATTGAGTAAATTATTAATTTAAATGGCCATAACAGAAAATATAACAGTGCATCAATTACAAAAATTAAAGAAAAAGACTAAAAGTTGTAATAAGAAAATGATGAAATTATTAAACATATATATTATATAAATAGTCTAAATCGAGAAAGAGAAATTGAGATATATATATTAATGGGTTTGTTGGGAAGAGGCAATAAATATGGTGATTTTGAATTGGTAAGAGGGTGTACTAGTGGAAGAGAGAGCAAAGATTGGCGAACACATTGAAAGTGGCTTCATTCTCGTATAGACTTTTCTCATCTTTCCTTGGACTGAGTTTCTTTATATTATTATGATGATGATTCTGAAATAACAATTTATGACCCTTTGTGGTCTCCACTCCAAATTAATTATCAGTAAATTTTCAAGATTTGGAAAAGTAATTAATCAAAAACTAAGATGCATAGGTCTGCAAGCTGGAACAGGTTTTCTGATGACTACTTCAAACATGCGACGAGTGGTTCGTCTTCAGGACACAGATCATCTTATTCTATGTTCGATGGAAGCCATTTGCCTACTTACGATCCCATTGCAGACTTGGCAAAGAAAGAGAGGGCACGTGTGAAGCTTGCAGAAAATGCAGTTCATCTCATCCCTTTTGTTCTAATTGCTTGTGCCGTCATTCTTTGGCTCTTCTCAAATCCAGGTAAATCATGCATTCAACTACAGATCTTAGCTGTTTTTTTCTTTCTATTTCATTTTTCATCATCTTAATTTTTCTTAAATGTATCTTCATAATGTTTGGAGTTCAAATTGAGATTCTTGATCTGTGTTAATATGATAGAACATGTGTAAAATCTTATAAAAATATATAACAAAATATTTATATATAATTTAATGTTTTAAGATTTTGAAGAAAAATGGAATATTTTATTTCTGTTGAAAATTTACATATATATAAATAGAGCAAACTGTATTTTATAGAATTAAAATTTATTTTTTAACAATTTATTATAATTTTAAGTTTTCAGAATTCAAGTATGAGTATTATATATAAAAAACACAGATTCATTTTTAAGTTTAAATTAAGAATAATATTAATTTTTTATATAAGTTTAAACTATTATTTCATTAACTTTTTAATGAATTTATCCATAAAGTGCTCTTTAATTATAAATTTCATGTAAAATATCCTCTTTAAAAAAAAGTTTCACAAAGCTATATATTTAACCTATAAAAATATATAGGTTAAAGAATGTGGTTAATGTCTTAAGACTTTTGAAGAGAAATGTAGTGGTTGGTTTATTATTCATGAATTATCATTAACTATTGATATATCTTCTTCAATTTCATGATTATATATAGTTATTAAAGTTTATATGATTTTATTGTAAAATATTCGAAGTTATTCAAGGGTCTCTTGAGCAAAAAAAAGATGTTTGAAAGAGATATATAGAGCTTGAGTAAGAATGTAATAAATAAAAATTATTTGTGACTGACAGTTTTATATCTCCTTGTATTTCTTATGAATAATCAAAATGAATCATGAATCAAATACATTAAACACTTAAATATGAGAAAAAATTTAGTGCTGGTATTAGCCAGAAATAAATATTAATTTATTTTATTTTATTTAATGAAATTGCTTTTAAAATATTTGTTATTTTTTATTTACTTGTATTTTTAATTTTTGATGAATTTATTTTGTTCTTGATATATATTAAATCTGAACAAGGATGATTTTTAAAAAATAGACATTTTTAATAAAATGANCAGATCATCTTATTCTATGTTCGATGGAAGCCATTTGCCTACTTACGATCCCATTGCAGACTTGGCAAAGAAAGAGAGGGCACGTGTGAAGCTTGCAGAAAATGCAGTTCATCTCATCCCTTTTGTTCTAATTGCTTGTGCCGTCATTCTTTGGCTCTTCTCAAATCCAGGTAAATCATGCATTCAACTACAGATCTTAGCTGTTTTTTTCTTTCTATTTCATTTTTCATCATCTTAATTTTTCTTAAATGTATCTTCATAATGTTTGGAGTTCAAATTGAGATTCTTGATCTGTGTTAATATGATAGAACATGTGTAAAATCTTATAAAAATATATAACAAAATATTTATATATAATTTAATGTTTTAAGATTTTGAAGAAAAATGGAATATTTTATTTCTGTTGAAAATTTACATATATATAAATAGAGCAAACTGTATTTTATAGAATTAAAATTTATTTTTTAACAATTTATTATAATTTTAAGTTTTCAGAATTCAAGTATGAGTATTATATATAAAAAACACAGATTCATTTTTAAGTTTAAATTAAGAATAATATTAATTTTTTATATAAGTTTAAACTATTATTTCATTAACTTTTTAATGAATTTATCCATAAAGTGCTCTTTAATTATAAATTTCATGTAAAATATCCTCTTTAAAAAAAAGTTTCACAAAGCTATATATTTAACCTATAAAAATATATAGGTTAAAGAATGTGGTTAATGTCTTAAGACTTTTGAAGAGAAATGTAGTGGTAGGTTTATTATTCATGAATTATCATTAACTACTGATATATCTTCTTCAATTTCATGATTATATATAGTTATTAAAGTTTATATGATTTTATTGTAAAATATTCGAAGTTATTCAAGGGTCTCTTGAGCAAAAAAAAGATGTTTGAAAGAGATATATAGAGCTTGAGTAAGAATGTAATAAATAAAAATTATTTGTGACTGACAGTTTTATATCTCCTTGTATTTCTTATGAATAATCAAAATGAATCATGAATCAAATACATTAAACACTTAAATATGAGAAAAAATTTAGTGCTGGTATTAGCCAGAAATAAATATTAATTTATTTTATTTTATTTAATGAAATTGCTTTTAAAATATTTGTTATTTTTTATTTACTTGTATTTTTAATTTTTGATGAATTTATTTTGTTCTTGATATATATTAAATCTGAACAAGGATGATTTTTAAAAAATAGACATTTTTAATAAAATGAAATATGTAAATGCTACAAGGATGGAAGGGAACATACGAGAGATGTTCATGAAATAAGATATGAAATTTTGAAATTTGAATTTTATTAACAGATGCAGGAGGCATTGGAGATCCCATTGGAGCAAGAATTGAAGGATTAAGTCTTGAAGGGGAAATTGAAAGCGATAGCGATGGAACTCAAATGGGTTTCTTACCTATTGTGAGTGCAGAAGAAGCTTCCACCAAAGATTTTGGTGCAGGAAAAGATTTAATAAATTCAAAGAATCTTTAGTTAATAATAGTTTTAAGTTTATAACTTAGTCAATTTAACATGTATCCAAACCACTCACGTAATATTCTTTAATTCTTGCAATTATTTCCTGATGTTAATCAAAATAAACGCAAGTTTTTTTTTCCTACTTATAAGCTTGCTATATATACATTCACAACATTATTGGGAATTAATCATCATGAAATGTAACAAAAGTGTTCTAGTTTGTAGTTATATATATTTATTTCCAATTACACCCATATATTCTTTTTCGTAATTTCTAAATATACTATATATTTTTTTTATGAAATTCAAATCAAGAAATTATAGACATGTATGTATCATCTACGGAATTTTATTTACTTGGAGAATCTATTTTTTTCTTTTTTTATAATAAATAATTTTATATTAACTAGAAATAAAACTAGTTTATAAAATATATGTGAATATAAATCTTATCTCATAAATTAATTTTGTGATATTAAATTAAATTTAAAATCTATCTTTTAAATTAAGATCAGAATCATATATTATAATTTATTATAACAAATTTAAAATTATGGTTCATTATTTCACCCACATTATCAGAAAGTTTTTCATTTTCAAATTTTATTCACTGAACCATTAAATTTCACTGAATTAAATCCTAACCTCACAATTGTGTAAAATAATCACTTAGAAACATTGAATTTTTTGCTTTTTAAATCTTGATCTCCTCACGATTTATAAGATTCCTCAAATTCTTCTCTATTTTTATTTTCTTTAAAATATTTGTATATCAAGTTCATCAGAAACCTTTAAATATTAAAATAAAATATAATTAATTAAAAATCAATTATAAAACTGACAATAAAAAAGAGTCGAAATTACTTACATAAAAGTAGTTAACTAATTTGTTCTATAATAATGCTTAGTTTTTTCAGTAAAACTTATTCTCTTAATTTCATTTTTTTATTATTAATCTTAAATTTATTTATTTTGTTTAAAAAATGCTTAATTCAGCGTCACTTACATCAACAGTTTGCATATTTAATTAATTCTTGACTAAGCATAGTTAAAAAATAATAATAAAAAAGATTACAAGTTGAAGAGAAGTCATATAGTCTCCCTGAGTAAAAAAAAGTGGTTGTGAACCATAAAAAAGATTTGACAGAAAATTTATTATAGGAAGAGAAAAGAACAATAAAATAAAACAAAGATAAGTGACATTGATAAGAAAAACATGAAAGATTTGTAAAATGGTTAAACTCCTCTTAATCTATATTAAATTTTAAATTAATCAATTTGGACGGGTGTTTTACTATTTTTTTTTTAATTTTGATATATTCTACCACGAGTATTTGAAAATTTGTAAACAACGCCTACAAGTTTAGGAATTTATTACATCAACACGTATCAAACCAAAACATAAAAAGATATAAAAGAAACTTATAAAAATATCACCTTAAACATGGGTAAATTTTAAAATATTAAAGATCAAAAGAAAACTTATCATGAAAAAGATTGATGATATTTCTTGAATCAATGCCCTCTAATATTGAAGAAAACCTTGAAACATCTTTTAATTAATTGTATATGTGAAATTTTAAAACTGTCAAAACAGGTAATCTGGCTTGACCCGGTCCATAGTGAGTCAATCCAATCCGACTCACTTATTAGCAAGCTGAAAATTTTCGAACCCGACTCGACCTATCACGGGTTAGTGAACTAAATGGGTTAACTCACTTAATTATAAGTTTTTTTTAAAATTAAAAAATATATATATATATATAATTTTTTAATTAAAATCTAAATAAATTTGAATAATGTTATATTCCAAAGACAATTCAAAATAAAAACAAATATCATAACGTCCAAGTATAATCCAAGAACAAGCACAAAAGACGAAAAAATAAGTTTTTAATATTGATAATTTTTGTATCACTTGTCCATTTATAATAAGCTTAATTGCTTACGTGGTCCCTATGTTAAGTGGTTTTTTTCAGTTTAGTACCTGATTTTAAAAGTGCATACATTGGGTCCCAAAGTTATAAAAATGGTATGCATCACGTCTTCCGTTAAAAGTGCATACATTAGATCCTAAAGTTGTAAAAATTGTATGAATCACGTCTCTTCTGTTAAATTGACAGAATCAGAGTTAACTTTGTGCTGACGTAGCTATGAAATCAATATGGTTTCTTCTCTCTCCTCTACTTGTCTTGCAATGTTTCGGCTTTTTCTCTCTCTTTTATATTTTTTTTATATCATACAGTGTCATTTACTTCTAGTATTAAGTAATTCATTTTTTAGGTAACTGGTCCAGTTGTTCTTCTTCTTTTCCATAAAAATATTTTAATTATAGTTTTAATTATTTTTTGTATTTTCCTTTAAAAGATGTTATTTAAAATTTAAATTATTTTTTGCATCATCAGGTGCTAAATGCTAACCAAGACAAAAAAAAAGTTATATATGAATTACGTAATTAATTCAGAACACAAAAAGTATTTCATAATTAATTAAAATTTAAAACATTTAATAAAATATATTAAATACTAATTGAATATATTTAATGCATTGTTTAGTTTTTAATACATTGATATAGAGTAAATAACATATTATAGAAAAGAGTTAATGGTGGTGATTACATGCTATTAGATTATTATTAAAAAAAAGAACTTTCTTATCTTTTCTATTATGTCTATTCACTTGTTTAAATAAACTTCTTAATAATCCGATTTTGTGATATTACATGCCAGATAAATTTAAATATTCTACACAAAAATTTGACATTAATATTTAAATTGCTATTTATTTTTATAAATTTTACAATTAAGCTAAACGTTAATGTTTAAAATATTTTCCTTTGTAAGATAAAATGTTAAAAAAAAGTTGTTTAAAGATGTAAGTTACAGAAACAAATTCACCTTAGATATATTCTAATGGAAGACTTTATAGTAGAACATCGTTTAATTTTTTTAAAATTAACATTTACAAGCCACTATATTAAAAATGACTTAGCAGATATTAAATAAAAAATAAATTAAAAAATTTAAATTACTTTTCTTTATCCTTTGTCACTTTCATAATGGAATGATAAAAATACTAATGTAATAAGTATTGTAGATAAAATATGTGAATATTTAGTATTTATATATATTAAATAATAGATATTTTAATATTTATTTATAAAGAAGTTTGATGTGAGTATTATATTATTTGTTTTATATCCGTTAATGAAAAAAATTAAAATTAATATTAAAATTAAATTTTATTACATTATATTTAATTATAATTATAATTATAATTAATGCATTTTTAATTTAAATTATATTAAATTTTATATCTTTTTTGGCAACTTTTTTAAATTGTATTTTAAAAATCTATAACAAATTTTAAATATCCATGAATATTCGTATGTTTTTAAAAATTTTATAGATAATTTTAATTCGGTATCCAACTATTAACCTAATAAATAATAAGTTTGACTTTTTTTCAAATCAAATAGTTGTAAATATTATCACTGGATCCGAAAACTAAAATAAAATATAGTAACATTAATCAGGGAAAAATGTTTTTAAGAAAGAAAAAGATTGACTTTATAAAATTAAAGTTAGTTTGCAAAAAAGAGTGAGAAAGACTACGATATTGCAGGAAAAACAGAGGAGAGAGAAGAAATCAGATTTCATAGCCACGTCAGCACGAGTTAACTTCCATATGTCAATTTAAGGGAAGGGACTGTGATTCATACATTTTTTTACAACTTCGGAATCCAATGTATGTACTTTTAAAACCGTGATTCATACATTTTTTTACAACTTTGGGACCTAATGTATGTACTTTTAAAACCTGGTATCAAAACTGGAAAAAAAAATCATAGGGACCAAGTAAGCAATTAAGTCTTTATAATATTATAGTCTTGAATAGATAAATTTATAATATTTTTCTCTATTGAAACATTTTTCTATCCTCGTCTACAATATAATAAAAAAAATTAACTAATAAAATTGAAACACAAAATAATAAATAATTAAATTAAATTAGGTGAATTGGTGAGTCAATCCGACTCATCACGGGTTCAACCCGGATGAGCGGGATTGAAAACTAACCCGCATAAAAAAATTACATTTTTTAAAACTCAACTCGACTTAAATCCGTAGTGGGTCGGGTTGACTCGTGAGTTACAACCCATTAACACTATAAAATTTAATGAATTTCCTTTATTCAATCTTAGAAGAAACACACACAAACATACATAAGTAATCATTTAAAAAAATAATTTAATTGTTTTAGTAAATTTTAGTTCTATCAATGTTATCTTCATATTTTAGTCTAATAAATTTATTTTAACAGAAAAGGAAAAAAAAGTAAATTTATGTTAAATTGATAATTTGTTTTTTTTTAAAGATTATTATTATTTGAGTTCATATGTATAAGTCAATTTATTTTGAATTTTTAATAAATATTGTTTACTTACGCCTCTTATTAGATATGAAATCATAACTTAAGATATTAAAGATCATACACCGATAAGAGATAATAAGATAAATTTATACTATAGAAATATGGGTGTAAATTTTTTTAAATTGGTTTTCTAATATTAGAGTTAGGTTTAAAATTTATTTTCTATATAGAATAAAAATCATTCAAATATTTTAGTGAGACGTGTTCTTTGATGGATCTAAAATATTTAATTTTACACTCAATATATATATATATATATATATATATAGACGTAAAAAAGTGTATTAGAAATTACATGAATAATAAGACAAATTAAAATATATTTTTTAAAATGAAATCCTATTTTAATCCTAAAAAATGACTAACATATACCGCTTAATTATACTAAAATAAGTAAAAATAAAGTTCATATTATTACTATTAAGCTCAAACGAGCAATTAACTCCAAGAAAAATGATTCATAGACCTTAAAAAGGTCATTGACACTTAATATATACTTGGAAAAATAATAAAAATCATAGATTTATAGGTCATTGATGTAATAAAAAAAAGAGATAAAAAGAAAAATCATATACAGAATATGTGTAGATAAAATTAAGGTATACATATACCATTTCTCTGGCTCTAATTAAAAAGTTATAGTTGTAGAATCATTTATGAGGGTTGACCAGTCACAACTTTCATTTAACCCAACTTAAACCAAAAGCTATACCAGGGTTTGCATATTGTATGTCATACTTAACCACACCACAGCACACTACACCATACACACAACACTCTCAGAAAGCAAGGGAAGCCAACTTACTTCATCACCTACTTCTCCTCGCATTCGTTTGTGGTACACCATCGTATTTCATTCTTACCTACCTTAAAACAAAACTTGGTTGCTTTGCTGCTTCAAACAAAACATTAACTGAATATTCCACACTCCAAAAAGCCTCAGTTTCAATCTTGTTACTCCAAAACTCTTGTCTTTTTTTTCAACCTTCTTGAGATTTTGTAGGTAATATCCAGACTCATATAAGCTCTACAAGGGATCTTTGGTGAAGCCATGGCTATGAACAAAATCCTAAAGCTCATCCAACTTATTCTTCTGATGGCAGTAGCTTCAAAAGCAGTGTCTCAACCCTCTCCAGATTGCCCCAAAAGCTGTGGCAATCTAAGCATACCTTACCCTTTTGGGACACGCGAGGGCTGTTATATGAACGACACTTTCCTCGTCACTTGCAACCATGATAACTCCCCCACGTCCATTCCTCTATTGGGAACAAACAACATATTGGTGCTCAACATATCACTAGAAGATGGGGAAGTTATAGTTTCAAGTCCCGTAGTCCGTGATTGCTATGGCACCAAAAGCAAAAACTCAAACGACCAAAATGGTCTCAATTTGACCCACTTTTCAATCTCACCAAGCAGGAACAAATTCACAGCAGTTGGTTGTGGCACGGTTGGAGTATTCATCGGTTACGATAGCAGCAGAAAACATGTTATAACAAGAGGGTGTGTATCCATGTGCGACACGCTTGGTGAAATCAGAAACGGATCATGCGATGGCATTGGTTGTTGCCAAATCGGTGTTCCCGATGGAGTGTATGGTTTTGCAATGAAAAGTTGGAGTATAAGCAACAACTCCACCGTACGTGACGGTGACTTCAATCCTTGTAACTATGCGTTTACGGTTGCGGAAGGCTATTACAAGTTCGAGACAACAAATCTTAAGAGCCTCGAGAATCCGAGGTTGCCCTTGGTGCTTGATTGGGCTGTGGGAAATCAAACGTGCGAAGAGGCGCAACAACATCCTAGTAGCTATGCGTGCAAGGATAAGAACAGTTATTGCCTCGATTCAACGAATGGGATTGGTTATCGTTGCAAATGCAATCATGGTGGAAACCCTTACCTCTACGATGGTTGCCATGGTAATTTCTAATTTTTGGATTAGTATTTTACTTTCTAATATCTCATTTTTAGTAGATTAATTCGTTTATTTATCCTTAAGTAACTGGATTCTTCTATGAAAAGTATATTTATGTCAAAAGAATTTAACTTTTTTATATACTAGTGATTCTTTTTATACTATTAATTAAAGGTGGTGGGTTAATTTTGCGAAAGGAAGTGAATTTAAGTAGGCAAAAATGCATGTGTTTTATTTAAAATTAAGGGCAATTTTTTTTAGAATAAATACTTTGTTTAATAAGTTGACCTTAGTTGACTAGGTTACCTCGTAAATTCATGTTGGGTTAGTTAACGTGTAAGCTATATCAACTTGCTTGAGAGTCACTTGCCAGTTTGAATGCATGAACAAGACTAAATTGTCATCAATCAATCAATCACTGATGCATTTAATATTTGTCTGATATGTGTATGGCCTGATGAACTAATTGGATCTTAAATTTGATCACAATCAAAAAGGCTTATGGTGGTTGGATGGAAAGGGAAAAAAATGGACTGGAAAAGATAAGACTATGAAGGAAAAGATAAGACTATGACCCATCTCTTGCTAGTATACGTAACTTGAGAGATTGAAAGCTGAATAGATATATTTTTTTTGAAGTCCATGTTTTAACGAATTTTATTAATTTAAACATATTGATAATGTATTATTTCCATTTTTATATAATTTTTAAACTAATAGATAAAATAAAAATACGATGGCATTCTTGTACTTAAAGACGAAAATAAAAGAAACGTTTCTAGATTTTCCTTTACTCGTTCTATTCCATGTACAAGTCTTTATCATAACTTAGTAAAGAAAACACGTTTTTTATCTTGATGCTTCATTTTGGCGAATGATTAGTCCTATTTTAACGTTGCTCTGTGATCTTCTTTGCATTCCTTGCTATATATATGATATAGAAAGCCTAGATAAACCAAAAATGAAATCGAATAGTGAGTTCACTTTGTTTGGGTCAGATAAGGATGAATGCGCTTTGAACAGCAATCCATGCATCCACAAGAAAATCTGCAAAAACGCCCCTGGAGAAGGTTTGAAGTGCTCATGTCCAAAGGGCCACGAAGGAGATGGATTGAGAAATGGCCAAGGCTGCAGACCCAAAAGAGACAAAAACACAGGGAATCTTATTCTTATAATTGGATTGAGTAAGTAAAAAACATGTACATTCGTTCACACACAATGTTTCTTACTCTCTAGTTTATATTGTTGGAAGTCAAATTACGTAGCCGAAAACAAAGGATGTAATGTAACTGTTGTTCACAGGTTTGAGCTTAAGTCTATTGGCAGTGGTTGTGGGATGCCTGAACATATACCCTCAATTCCGTGAAAGAAAGCTCATGAAAATCAGGGAGAACTATTTTAAGAAAAATGGTGGCATGTTATTGCAAAGGCAGATTGATCTGGTCAATGGCTCAACCGAAAGAGCCACAATTTTCACTGCTGAGGAGCTCAAGAAAGCCACCGACAACTACGATGATGATAGAATCATAGGCAAAGGAGGACATGGAACGGTGTACAAAGGTATATTATCAAATGGCAGTGTTGTTGCCATCAAGAAGGCCATGGTTTCCAACCAAACCGAGATTGGCCAATTCATCAACGAAGTGGTCGTGCTTTCCCAAATCAACCATAGGAATGTCGTCAAACTACTAGGTTGCTGTCTGGAGACTGAGTTTCCTTTGCTTGTTTATGAGTTCATCACCAACGGTACCCTTTGTGAGCATCTACATTTTGAAGGTGAGGCATGTGGTGATAAACACAAACTTTCATGGACAACACGTTTGAGAATTGCAGCAGAGACAGCAGAATCTCTTGCATACTTGCATTCTTCTGTTTCCACACCCATCATACATAGAGATGTTAAAACAGCAAATATTCTTCTAGATGACAACCTCACAGCAAAAGTTTCTGACTTTGGTGCTTCAAAGCTTGTTCCTCTTGATCAAACTCAGTTAACAACGTTGGTGCAAGGAACCATGGGTTACCTTGATCCTGAGTACTTCCAAACAAGCCAACTAACCGAGAAGAGTGATGTTTACAGCTTTGGTGTTGTTCTTGCAGAACTATTGACAAGTAAGAAGGCACTTTCGTTCCTTAGGCCTCAGAGTCATAGGAATTTGTCCATGTATTTTGTTTCTGCAATGAATGAGGGTCGGTTGGATCAAATATTGGACAAGGAAATCGTGAGTGATGCAAGTGTTGAGTATGTGATAGAAGTTGCTAATCTAGCCAAAAGGTGTCTTAGGTTGCATGGAGAAGAAAGACCAAGCATGAAAGAAGTTGCTATGGAGTTGGAGGGAATAAGGATCATTGAAAAACATTCACTGGGAGGAGCAAAAGATGTTGCATCTCAGGAAGAGACAGAGAGCTTTCTCGGACCACGTTCTCATTTAAGTATTGATCATGGTGATGGTACAAGTAGCAGTACAATTTCTAGGTTCTATGATTTGCATAACCAGATTTTGGAACCACTTGAAGATGGACGATGAACAACAAACGCAGATCGGGATAAGTTGTAAGATTTCAGATTCACTTAGTTGTAACCATACAGTGAATCAAATTAAAGATTAAAAATTATTCATCAAATAAAAATGTCACT